CTGCAGAGGGGATAAGGTCTCCCCTCACCTCCTCTTCTCCAAATTAAACAACCCCAGCTCCCTCAGCTACTCCTCATAGGACTTGTGCTCCAGACTCTTCACCAGCTTTGATGGTTGGACTCAATGATCTTAAAGGTCTTTTCCAACCAAAACCCTTCCAAAAGCTGCAGCCCTGCATTTTGCACCCAGTCAACGTGACAAAATCAAATGTCCCATGGCAATCCTCGTTTTTCTTCCTCCCTTCCCTCCACCATCCAGACCTGCCACAGGGCTGGAAGCGCAATATTTACTTTTAATTCTCTGATACTCCTGTAATAAAAATCATCGCTGTGTCGGCGATACCGCGCTTGATTTAGGAGATCGATGGTTAATTCTGGCAGCTCTCCTACCAGCAGAGGTTTTTAAATAGCAGGAGCCGGATGACTCTTTAGCAGAAGAGCTCCTGGGGGACGGGGATTGGTTTTATTGACTGAGTCTCTTTGCCTGTGGGTACCGGCAGAGCCGCGCTGGCTCTTTTTTCTATAATTGCAAAGTTAACGAGCTTCTGCCGTGCTGTCAAGTAGATATGCCTACATCAAAAATTATTGCGTTTGCCTGCTGTGAGGTTTGCAATGTGTCTTATTAAATGTTTTCGACTGCTGCTAAACATTAAGGTAACTGATAATTTACCAGGCACTGAGGATCTTCTGTGTTTTCAAAGGAAAAGCTGCCTCTATTCAGTGTTTCTGCCGTGGCTGGATTTGGTGTAACTTTCATCCAGTGTGAAACTTTTTGAGTGAAGCATAAAGCTAAAATGGGTGTAAATAGGAAGCGGAGCTTCTGAATGGATTACCAAATCATGCTGTATGTGGTTATTTTAAAAATCTGTTAGATATTTCAGTCTTGATCAGTAGGAGCATCTGAGCGACTTATTCAGCCAGAGCAAAATAAGTCACTTATTTAGTCAACCGGTATGGATAGCTCAGCATGGCTTGGGAGCAAGGGGCTGTCTTGGGTTTCTCTTTGGGTAGAAGAAGAGGGGGGAAAAGCCATTTTCTGCCCATCAGATGGGGAAGCAAAGGGGAGCTGCTGGCAGCATTTCTGGATAATCCTCTTGCTCCTCTCCAGCTGCCAAACTCCTGGCAGGGCTTTGCAGTGAGTCATGGGCTTCCAGGCAAGTCTCAAACAGGAAGCATGGAGGATTATCCCTGCTCAGCTGTGCCAAGGGTGCTGGGAGCACCCGAGGGGGGCTCAGCTCCCCACTGTGGTGGGTGCTGGTAGGTGCTGCTGCCCAAGGTCACACACCAATGTGGGGCTCCAGCTCAGTTTTCCGTGTTTCTTCATAGAATCACAGCGTGGTTTGGGTTGGCAGGGACCTCAGAGCCCCCCAGTCCAACCCCCATGGGCAGGGACACCTCCACCAGCCCAGGCTGCTCCCAGCCCCGTCCAACCTGGCCTTGGGCACTGCCAGGGAGGGGGCACCCACAGCTTCTCTGGGCAACCTGGGCCAGGGCCACCATCAGAGCCGAGGTGCAAGCACAGGGGCACATTGCACACATCCTACCCTGATGCTGGAGTTGGACCTGGAGGGAGCACTCATCTTTCAGCTGGTTTCAGCACGGGTCCTTCCCCCTGACCTGATCAGACGCAGCTCCCGGGGAAACGCAACGTGCTTCAACCGCTGGCAAGTGATGAATGTGTAAAATTACCCTGGGTTTAGATAAGATGGGAGCTTGATTTTTCTTTCAAGAGTTCATCAAGCTGACAGTGCAAGCTTTTTTCCTTTTTACCTAAGGGTAAACTGCCAGAATTTGTCCTCATTAAGAGGATAAGTGTACTGAACACAGCCCCATTCATTTCAAAGGCTGTCTGCTTGGCAAGAGCCAGACCAACTTCTTTTTTGATATCCTAAAAGCTAAATACAAGGTTGGATTATGTTGCATCCTTTCTTTTCTTTATTTCTCTTTTTTCTTCTTCCTCTGATAGAAGCAGCTGTAACCCAGATGCACAATCCCTTCGCATTGAGCTTTCGGTTGTTTGCCTTCCTGTTCACCCAGGCAAATACCCGGGCTGTCTGCTCCCTTCTCAGGAGAGCTCATGTTTTGTAGTTTAACAAAATCCAGGCATTTACCTGAAAACTGACCTTTTTGTGGCCTCATCATAAAATACAACAATCCCCATGGCACACAGTGCTTTGTTACCGCTTCACGGGGCTGTGGTGGCATTTTGGGGCAGGGAGGACCACTTTGAGCTTGATGATGAAGGTCTCATTTTTAATTTGAAATAAAACCTTCATACTAAAAATATCAAGGTAGCCTTGTTAGCCACCCACAACTTTAACTTCTACTTAAATCTGATTATTTTAGTGTTTTAATGACAGTTCTGTGGTTCACATCCAAGCAGGTGAGCTCTCCCTACCCAGTGACTTTATTTCCCCGCGAGCAAGCGCCCGGTGTAGGTGTAATTGCATCGTGTGACGGATGCTGGCCGGGTACCACGGCGACAGATGCACGCTGAAACTGTGTGAAAATTTTTGCAGCCAAAGCAAAACTGGCAAATGCCTCAAGGTAGTCTTTTTAGCCACCCACAACTTTAACTACTATTTAAATAATCTGATTATTTTAGTGTTTTAATGACAGTTCTGTGGTTCACATCCAAGCAGGTGAGCTCTCCCTACCCAGTGACTTTATTTCCCCGCGAGCAAGCGCCCGGTGTAGGTGTAATTGCATCGTGTGACGGATGCTGGCCGGGTACCACGGCGACAGATGCACGCTGAAACTGTGTGAAAATTTTTGCAGCCAAAGCAAAACTGGCAAATGCCTGGCGGGTGCGCGGCATCTGACGCTTTCACTGCGATGTTTATGCACTGAAAAGCAGTTCTAGGCATGGCTCTTGTCAGCAGGGGAGCGCAGATAACATCCCTTCTTTTGTTGACCTCCTCAACTCTTAAAAACCCTCTTTTTATTTCTTTTTTCCCCCCACTCTGCCCTCATTATACTCTCAGTCAAATGCTTTGATTCTTTGAAAGAGCACAGCTGCATGAAGTATTGAGCACTTCAATCCTGCAACTTTATTTTCTGACATAAATAGTGAGAAGTCACCTCTTGTAGCTTCTCATCCGCTCTTCAGGAAGGCTTTTCCTTTTCTCCTCCACAAGCATCTCTTGCATCATAGGACAACATCAAGCATGACTCTGAAAATCACATTGTAAAGGAAAACCACGTGATAAAAAACTTGCTCTCCCAGCTGCAGAGGTAAGGAGCAAAGGAGCAGAAGGTGCTGACCATCATTTTGCATGGTGTGCTTCTCCTAGGGCACGATCTTGCACGACGACATCTGTCACATCCGCCATCCAAGGTCACATTTGGCTGCTGATTTTTCCCCCGGGGGTACAGGATGGCAGCTCCCCACTTCTGAGCAGTTCTGCAGTTGTCTGTCTTCATGTGTGTATTAAATACTAATCAAACTAGGCATAGGGATGGTACTTGCCATAATTCATCACTAATAAAGCCCCTTATTTGGCTTTAGGGTCAGGGCAGAAAGGTGGCTCCTTCCACCTGTTGCGGTGGGTGGGAGAGTGGACAACCACTCCTGCGCAAGGTGTGGCTCTGCTGTTTGCTGTCCACAGTAATTAAGTGTCTATAAATAGCCTGAAATGGTATTTTGCTAATATTTCTACAAATTAATAACTTACAGGTACTGTGCCTGTACACTGTTTGCTGTAGGCCATGGCCCAGCCTCTTGCCATGCTGCCCTGTGTGCCACCCCAGCCATGGAACCAGCAAAGGAAGCATGGACGGAGTTGGTGCCATTGGGAGTTATGGTGTGAAGGTGACCGACCACAAGTGACTTTGTCCAAGTTCCTGCCCAAGCTCATGCTCCTGCCCGTGAATGGGAGCCTGCAAACCTGCCTGTGGCCACTGGGCAGTGCCACAGGGACCCGTGGGAGAAGATCTCTAAGGGGGAGAGGACAGTGGTACGGATTGCAGCACAAAATGAAGCACCAGTACCTCAGTGACCATTTCTCATCATTTCCAGGGTTTCTGGTGGTTGCACTATTTCTGAACCTTGAGATCTCAAATTACATATACAACCAAAGTAATCTCAGAATATGAGGAGTTGGAAGGGACCTGGAAAGCTCCCCCAGTGCAACCCCTGCCACAGCAGGATCACCAGAGCAGTCACACAGGAACACGGCCAGGGCTTTGGGTGTCTCCACACAAGGAGACTCCACAACCGCTCTGGGCAGCCTGGGCCATGCTCCAGAACCCTCACACTCACAAACTTTGGCCTCATCTTCAGCTTGAACCTCCTGTGCTCCAGCTTGGGACCATTGCCCCTTGTCCTGGCATTGGACATCCCAGAGCAGAGCCTGGCTCCTTCCTCCTGACACTGCCCTTTCCAAATGGATCCCCAGGAATGAGGGCACCCCTCAGTCTCCTCTGCTCCAAGCTCAAGAGCCCCAGCTCCCTCAGCTGCTCCTCAGCAGGAGATGCTCCACTCCCTCCAGCATCTTTGTGGCCCTGCTGGACTCTTTCAAGCAGTTCCCTGTAATGTCTCTGATCTCCCCATCCAGACACAAAAGGCAAAGTAAAAACGCCAATGCTGGTGCACCCCTGCAGAAAGGTGGGCTGGCCACCACCGCTCTGTCCTGTGGTCCAGAAAAATCCAGAAGACAGGAGATGATAACCAAGCTCCTCAGAGGAGGAACCCTTCTCGGAGGCTGTGTTCACAGTGGTCCCTCCAGTGAAGAGCAGAGCCGTCAGGTCCATGAGGTCATGGCATCATATGCTTTGGGCCATATCTACTCGGAGGTGTTTAGGCAGCACATTTACCAATGGAAACTCGTAAGTATGACATTAGCACTTCATATAAAGATAAAATCAAACTACTTTGAAGATGCAATAGGATGTTTTGTTAATTGAGCTGTATACACAGTTTCAATTTGAATGGAAACGATCAGTCATGATTGTCTGTATTAAATAGTCATTTTTCTTTACACTCTCTGTTCATTGCTATCCTTAAAACAGAATGACGTCTTTTGGTGCATTTTCAATGGGTCTTTCCTGTTCTTTTTTCTTAGAATATCTTGCATGGTCATAGAAATATATGATGACAATAGAAGCAATGTTCAGAAAAACAATGAGCAGCATGATCCAATATGAATATCCATAAGTGTGTGCAGATTCGATGTGTGTCTGCAGGAAAGAAAAACACCCACGAGCCAATTCTACAGACAGGCCATTTGCTTCGACGTTCACAGGAAAAAGTATCATGGCTAGAAGTACGAAGATTCCTAGAAAACACAAAAACAAATTATAGAGGTGGACATGCAGTATTATTTAGGTAGCTACTTGTAAATAGGCTACTTAAATCGGATACTTGGACTAGGACAAAGATTAGTATTTTCCATTAGTAAAATATGAGGGCATTTAAAGAATTTTTGTCCCACCTAATGGTATCTGCCAGGTGTTTTGACATTGGCAACTCTATCTTCTGCTAAAATTAATGGATTCTCACTGTCTATTCTTAGATAAGGCCATTTAATGTACTTTTTTAAAATGAATTTAGTGCTGATGTCTATAATAAGTTATATATTTGCAGAATGCCTATTTGATATGAGCTCAAATTCATGGGGTGTGCAGCATCACAGCTGCATAAAACCCTGAGCAACCTGGTCTGTGATGAGGGTTGGCCTGGTTTTGCTCAAGAGCTTAGACTTGGAGGTCTCGTGTTATTTCCAACCCAAATTATTCAATGACTCTGTATTGAGCCAAAAATGAGATGACTTATTAGGTCTGTATCCATTTCCTACAGCCTTCTGAATAGTGGAGTTTGGTTACTTTGATGTTTAGCTGAATAATGCTTTTACATCTCTACTTTCATAGTGCTAACAGAGGTATAATCTCTGAACACTGGTGAAAATATTCCCATCCTCTTGGTACACCATCCTACACATGTTCTCACTGAAATAGGTTCAGTTTTTTTCAGAAGGACCCTGGGCTTTCGGGCCATCTGGTAGGAGAATTGGGAACCTTCAAGATACAGTCGCACGTCAAATAATGCATGATTTTTCATAAAAATATGCCCCCCCCCAGCAAAATATAGATTTCCAGGTCACAGGACTTGCAGGGCTGTAAAAAATAACCACAATCCTCAGTGAACATAGGGGTTTACTTTCCTACTAATATTTTTTTTGGCCTTTCATTTTTTGGCCTTTTGTCCTTTCACTTTAGGTCCAAGCTTGCAGATTCAGGCTGTGTAATGGGTGCCAGGCTCGGGAAACGAACAACTTTTGAAGTATGATGTGTCATATTGCCTCAGAAGCTGAATAATTGTCTGGAGCCCAAGACAGGACACTGCTGGGGGTGTACATAGCTCAAGGGAGAGACAGCTTCTGCTCCCCATCTTCAGACCTGAAGAGCTTTTGAAGGACAAAACACCAATGCTGACGTACTCTGTAATCAGATATCTTTAAAGAAAATTTTCAGAGTGGAAATGTAGTATTAAAGGAGCACATAATCCTCTTGAGACAATCCTCTTGAGCTGAAGTCATTGCCATAGCCAGATGAAGAGGGTAGGAAGGTGCATTGGGAGCAGCCAGGCTCAAGCCTACCAGGTAAACATGGGGTTACACCTCTGGGGAGATGTTTGGCAGAGTTCACGTCTTTAAAAACTCAGTATCTCTACCATTTTTTGCTGCTTAGGGAATGTTAAATCTTACTTTATTCTCTGAAAGTCTGTTTTTGAGAAGAAAATTCTGCCATGACTCTGTCTTCCCAACTGCTACCCGCTCTGTTAAAGCTGTGTTGGATGTGTTTCATTCAACACATTTTTCAGAAATGAAGCAATAGGGTCCATCCTATAGATCAGACCTTAGAGGCCTGATTTGGTATGTAGGCAACCCAGCAACAAATCTGTTACAAATACCATAAAATAGTGACCTGAGGTCTTAAAGAGGTTACAAATTGCACTGTAGTCACATCCAGTGCATACTTTTGTGTTGCAATTTCCTTCTGTCTCTGTCAGCTTACGCTGTTCTTCTTGATGAGCATCATGCATGAAATGATGCTACGCTTGTTGGGGCTGTTTTATTTCCTTTTTTTGCTGCCAGTGAATCCAGACTCCTACCTGACTGATGGTGCCATTTCAAGTAAATAATACTGTTTTACTGGTACTTAAAAGAGAAAAGATTCCACATTTGGAATATTGTGTCCAGTTCTGGGCCCTCAGGTCAAGAAGCGCAGGAACTGCTTGAAAGAGTCCTGCAGGGCCACAGAGATGCTGGAGGGAGTGGAGCATCTCCTGCTGAGGAGCGGCTGAGGGAGCTGGGGCTCTGGAGCTTGGAGCAGAGGAGACTGAGGGGTGCCCTCATTCCTGGGGATCCATTGGGAAAGGGCAGTGTCAGGAGGAAGGAGCCAGGCTCTGCTCTGGGATGTCCAATGCCAGCACAAGGGGCAATGGTCCCAAGCTGGAGCACAGGAGGTTCAAGCTGAAGATGAGGCCAAAGTTTGTGAGTGTGAGGGTTCTGGAGCATGGCCCAGGCTGCCCAGAGAGGTTGTGGAGTCTCCTTGTGTGGAGACACCCAAAGCCCTGGCCGTGTTCCTGTGTGACTGCTCTGGTGATCCTGCTGTGGCAGGGGTTGCACTGGGGGAGCTTTCCAGGTCCCTTCCAACTCCCAATATTCTGTGATTCTGTGATAGGTTCTGTATCCCAGCAGACATGGTTAAAAACCAAAACCAACTGAACAGAATACTTTTCCAAATGTTTCCCTTTACAGATTTATATTTCTTATTCTTGGAATCAGTAAGAATACAGTATTCATCCACATGGTGGGCAGAAAGTGGTCAGCATGGGACGTGTTACTCACCGCATAAGGAATTCCAGGTATAGACTCCAATGGGTCCCAGAAAGGTCTGGTAGGGATTACTGACAGCATTAGTGCAGGTAAATCCAGAGCTCAGAAGGGAGCTCAGCAGACCAAGAACCAGAATCACAATAATCGCCGTGACGATGCTTTCCGCCGTGGTCCTGCTCAGGTTATCTGCAACTGAAATACAGCACTGATGATCAACGCTGGTGGGCTTGGATGGGGTCATGACTTGCTAATGTGGCTGTAATTAAAAGCTAAAAACTAGAGATTTGGCTGATTTGTTTTACATTTGGGATGTAGAAAGAACAGTAGGGTCGGGCACATGAACTCATATCCAAAATAGGGTGAAGGTAAATTAGGCTGTAACACATCTGTGTCTGCTAATCCTGCAGGCACGCAAACTTCCCGGGCATCAGGTTGGATAGTAAACTTCTCTTACTTAATAACTGTGTAAAATATTTCCTCTTGCCATGGCCAGACAGAAGTTTTATCCCCCAATCAGATCAGAAATCCGGGTGTTCCCTCTCCACTCCTGAGGCCACGTGTCAAGGAGTTGTGCATCTTTACATTGAGCATCCTGTTGCCTCCCCTTTTTGCGCCAGCTTACTACACTGATACACAGAGATTACTACCTGCTGTAGTTTCTGTAGCTAAATATACACGGCTGGCCATATATACATGGCACATATAGTCAACCCCTCTAGGACTGTAATCAGTTGTATTGATTTTTGCCTAAATCCTTCTAGTTATTTGATACATTGCTGATAATAAGAGACACAAATGTGAACGCAATATACTCAAAGTGTGACTGTAGCTGTGTTGAAATATATTCTTTTCCTCCTTTCAATTTAAGGACTGTAAAGGCAACGATAATGTGCCTGTGGCTGCCTTACCCTATAACAAATACGACAATGTTTTCAGGCTCTACTCAAATGGGTGTTGCTATAGAAAGCCAATCTGGAGGGAAACTTCCTTTCTATGCTGCTTTTAGTACAAAGCCATTACTGCAAAGTATTCGGTTTGTGCATAAATTAGAGCAATCATAGCAGGAAAAAAAATAGTCAAAACCCCATAAAAAGAAAATAAACACTCATAACAAAAAAGAAGAGCTATAGGAAAGACATGAAAAGGAGCACTTCTCTCATTTTATGTAATATTCCTGGTAGAAGTTAATTTCTGTCTGAGGAAATGGCAGGTAAGGATGTGCTATGGAAATCAGCTGTAAATTGAAGCAATTCTCCCATAAGAATAGGCAAGACAGACATTCAGGAGGCATCACTCAATTAAATGGCAGCGAGCACTCTGCCAGCTACGCTTGCAACGAAGCAGCCTTAGAGCTTGGGCATTGCCGAGTTCATGAAATGAGTCTGGAGCCAAACCAGCCAGGTTTGGGTAACTTCCCTCTGGCAGCCTCGCTTAATTTTACGACTGGGAACATCTCCCGAAATGACTGGCTGCACCTATTGTACCCCTCATTGATCTTGGCTATCTCTGACAGTGATCCGCAGGTCGGGGGATGTAATTTTGTCAGACTCCTGCAGCAGCACAAGACTAAAGGGTTTAAATAAAATGCTGCTTTCGTGGCAGTGTATTTTTTTTTCTAAATAAAGCGGTCTGTGCAAAGTGAAGGAATTTACAGTAGCTGATCTACTTGGATGGGATCGATAGTAACGCACAGCTGGACAACCTCTGCATCAGTAAAATAACCTAATCCCAGAATGAAAGCAGAGGTGTTTGCCTTTGCCAGGTCTCGCTGTAATTTCCTGTACCTTCTTTTATGTTTTCATCTGTAACTCTTGTATGGTTGGGTAGAATTTCCCCAACTTTTACTGACCTGAGTGGGAATGAAGTCTAGCTGCCAGTCTGGAGGTCTTTTTCTAAGCAGTGCTTATCTGGCAGGTTTTATGAGGTCTATGAGTACTTATGACACAATGAATCATTAATTTTAAAAAACCTCCAACCCTAAAAACCCAAACCATCAAACAAAAGCCCTAAAGCTGAGTTTAACCTATCTTTCCACTTTTCAGGAGATCTCATATGACACCTGAAAACTCATCACAGAACCATTGAGGTTGAAAGAGACCTCTCAGATCATCCAGTCCAACCTTCAACCCAGCCCCACCATGGCCACTAAATCATGTCCCCAAGTGCCACATGAAGCATAAAGGAAGTTCCAGCAGTTTTCAAGCATCTGCTATCTATTCTAAAAGTTAAAGTTGATCGATTCCTCTCTGTGATAGCAAATTTCAAAGACTTCTTCATGTGCCGTTGGCCATGCGGCTGTTAGTAGTTGGACAAAAGACCTGACTTTATGGGACTCTCTGAGTGTGCCTCTTCCTGCACCTTGCTCACAGTTTTTGCATGTTTGACTTGGAAGCCAAGCTGTAAACAAGCAATTTTAGACTGTTACAGCTATAGGTGGTTCCTTTCTAAGACAAATCATTCAAAAAAACCAATGAAGACTCTAAGGACCTCAGTTATTTAATAACTTTTACATTCTGCCAGATCATTCTGCTCATCCCCAGAGCCTCCGAAGAAGCCGTATTGATTTATTGCTCTATTAAGGTCATTCGTGGCAGTCCGTTAAAGAGGCTGCCCTGACCAGGCAGTTCATGCACTGTATGTGTGCAGAAACTGCATTTCTTTGTTTGTCTTTTGCCTTCATGTTCAGAAATATCCTTTAATGATGTGTTTTCCAAAAGAATATAGTCATTTTAAAGGCTGTTGATCATTTAATTCTGTATGGATATTAATATTAAAAGCCAACTTGGGCTATTGCTAGTAAGTAATCTACATCCCCAAGCTATCACCTTTGATTTACTCTTTCATGACTTCCATTTTCCTTTTCTCACCCCCAAATACGACAACGCCATTTGAGAAACGCGCTCTGGGTGCGCAGCAGAGACCCCCAACGAGGCCGTGCTTGCCGAGTGATTTAAAAGGATGCTTATAGCTCTTCTTGCTGGTGTCTGAAATGCTCGAGTGGGTAAAACACAGCACTTCATTTCTCCATAGCACAGGCAATCCATTTACTTATGGATATCATCAAACAAAAGACATCCACTGTCTTAGAAGGACCCGATTATTTGAATTTAAAAATAGTTTCTATGCAATTCTGCAAAGTATTTCTTCTATTTCAAGAATGTACAGAATCGTACTTAATATAAAATGTGACAATCATGCCTAGCATAAAGCCTAAGAATTAATTCAAAATCAGTTTGTTTCATCTTGGATATACGCCCAGCTGAGGGATGTGGGCAAATCCATATTTAGACTATTCATAAAGCACAATTTTCTTCCAGCAGCTGTTTGAAAGCAACAAGCAACTTCTGAATCTCACTCGGCTGCTTCATCCCGAAATGGTTGGTATGTGAGAACTGAGACGTTTTGTAAATGATGAGCACAAAAGTCTTAATCTGGTGGGGAGAAGATGACCTCCACCACCAAAATGCACGTAGACCGTGCGAAGAAATCCTTTACTGATGCAGAAGTTCTGTGAGTACTTGTCATTAATTGTAATTAAAATCTGTCCGGTGGTAGCGCCCAGGCCCTGGGGTTGGGTTGTGTTTGCCCTATTAAAATCAGCAGAAGCCTGCTCTCGTGGTGCAAGGTTTGGGGCTTGAGCCAGGTGACATTGGGACACACAACCACGTATAAACTGTCTGTACAAATGCATATTTACTCTTCTATAAATTACTGAGATTATTCTGATACGACCGTAAATAAACAGGTGTGAATGACTTGTGATGTTGTACTTGTTCTGTCATTATCTCAATGTAAGCTTTGCTAGGAACTGCCACGTTCAGGTTTTTCACCGCAATATAATTGCGGTAATGTGAACTGACTTGTGTGATGTAGCTGTGCCACTCTGGGGATTTGGGTGCCTGTATAAATCCTGTACCAAATTAAGCTGGGGTTGGGAACCATCTGGAGGCTTAGGTCTGCTGTGTTTTACCCTGTTGGCTTCTCTTTGATGGGGCATCTTACAACAGCCTCCCAAAAATGAAAAATGACCTTAAAGTACATCTCATGTCTCAAAATTGTTTGACCTACTCTTCCAAATTCTTCCACTGGGCTGGTGGAGGTGTCCCTGCCCATAGGGGGTTGGGCTGGGGGAGCTTTAAGGACCCTTCCAACCCAAACCATGGTGTGATCCTATCGTTTTTGTTTCTTTTGACTGGCTTTTTTTTCACTTTCACACGTGTATATCAGCGTTACTGCTTTGAACTCTGTGAGACAGCAAGATAAGTAAAATGAGTGCAGATCCTAGATCCTTGCAACAGCTTTCAGGCTCAGCTACCTATGGGCTTTGCGAATGCTTTTCTTCACATCAGTAGAGCTCCTTGTGCATGGACTTAACGAAATCTTTGCTGAACTGTGTGAACCCAGTACTGAGGCTGTGGTTTGTACCTGGTGTGCATAATTTCTCGTTTCTGTTTTGCTTTTTCTCAAGCTTTGCTTCTCATGTTAGGATTTTTCATGCTTCTGTCTTAACTTTCTCCAAGGTTGCTCCAGGTAAAGCCTCTTCTGCTCTTCCCCTTGTTCTTAAACGTTGCTTTATCCCTGTGTAGCATCTTTCCTCCCTTATCCCTCAGTTCTTCTGTCCTCCTTTATTATTTAACCAATTTTATTCTTTTTCATCTGTAATAATTCTACCATTGTGGGTATTTACCAAGAGCTGCGGATGCAGTTCTATTCCATATCAACATAAGCTATGGTTTAATTGGCATCTAAGGGATGTTTGCTGAACTGTACTTCTAATAACCTTGTTTCCAGATCTCAGTGTGTTTATTTCGTGAAGCCTTAATGATGAGGAGGCACCTGAAAACTGAGCACTGGGTGAGGGGAAGAAAGACCTTAAAGAGGATGACAAGCTCTGTTGTAATCCATACTTCACAGCCTAGCATAAAACACCCAAAAGACATGAGCAAGCATATGGTTTAAAAACACAAATGGTTAGGTTTGAGAATAGCACTTAGAAACAGAATGGTGTGCTTTTAATGGAAGAAATAAAAGGGATATTGTCATTAATGTGTAGGCCCAGCACACGTATAAACACCGTATCTATCTCAATTATTGTTTTATTCTTTTTCATTCAGCAGCCTCATAAAATCTTCTATAAAAAAAGATACTAATTTCATAGTAGGTGGCAGAATGTTTTAAATCAAACAATTAATTTAACATAATGAAATAAAAAAAAAAAATCCTGAAAGGTGAATTAGGTTTGTAACCCTTTAATAAAATGGCAATTGAATATTGCTTTTCTGTTCCTCACTGAAAGCTTCTAAAAATTAAGATCAGTTTTACATAAAGTTCCTACTTTGTGGTTTTCCCTTCTTCCAAGGCGTAGGCTCAGATCCCAGGTCATCAGAAGTTGCTATTGGCATGAATGCTGGAGCATTTCTGGTTTTTTGGGGGGCTCTTATTTCATACCAATTAAATCCCCAGTCTGGTTTACAGATATTCTTGTTCAAGTATTATTTTAGATACAGATGAATAAAAGAATAAGCTGTGGTTCCTACATCCCTCACCTGCGTGACCAAGAAGATGCAATCCATTTTCAGGCCTACCATTCGCCCACCTTGGTGTGTCCCCCCAACTCACCCACCTTGGTGTCCCCCCACTCACCTTGGAAAGACATTTCGGAAACCTGAAGTCCCGCCTCGACGAACTGTTCGCAGGTACCGCTAAAAAGTCCATAGGTGAGGCTGACGGTGACGCTGGAGTTCGTGCTGGCAAAGCGAACCTCGCTGCTCATCCAGTGCTGGGTCCCCAGAACCACGCAAATCAGTACAAAAGAGCAAATGCAGGTCAAAAAAGCCGATGTGAACAAGGACGTTTTTTTTCTGGACGGCATTTTGTCAGGTTTTCTACCGTCTCAGGGTATTTTCTTCTCTTTAGTCCTGCGTAGCATGAGGTTGCTTCCTCCTCCTCCTACCTGGGATCTGCTCTCTGAGCCAGTAGAAGGTTGCTCTGGTAAACTTTAAGCAAACAGCAGCAGTAATAAAAATGTAAAATAATTGAACTTTGGTCTGGAGAAAAGGTGCTCCCATAGTTACAACACAACCAGCCTGGCAGAGGCTGGGAGGAAATGTCAGGAGGTGATTTATGGTGCTTCACCGACTCATAGTTGTCAGATTTCAGCCTGGAGAAGAGAAGGCTCCAGGGGGACATTATAGCAACCTTCCAGGACCTGAAAGGGGTCCTACAGGAAAGCTGGGGAGGGACTTTTTACAAGGGCAGGTAGCGATAGAACGAGGGTAATGGTTTTAAACTTGAAGAGGGGAGATTTAGACTGGGTATTGGGAAGAAATTCTCCCCTGTGAGGTGGTGAGGCCCTGGCCCAGGCTGCCCAGAGAAGCTGTGGATGTCCCCTCCCTGGCAGTGCCCAAGGCCAGGTTGGATGGGGCTTGGAGCAGCCTGGGCTGGTGGAGCTGGGTTGAACTGGGGGGAATTTGAGGTCCCTTCCCACCCAAACCCCTCTGTGGTTCTATGATTGCCATTCTAGATATATTTCCTAATTAAATTCCATGTATTTTCACATAGTAACTAGATACATGTCAGGAGAAAGTAGAAGAGATTCTATTAGCTTTCATTTCTATTAATTATAATGTCATTATTCCACGTTATGCTGAACCCATGCTTCTGGATCATGCAGAGTTTTTAAAATTAACCCTTAGAAAGCAATCTAACAGTGCTGCTAATTCAACCTGTTGATCTATCGTCCTGAAGCTTGATTCATTTGTACCATAAAGACATTAAGAAATTAAAGCTTTATGAATTTGAAAAGGTAAAGAATTTCTTAAGGGTCAAAATACCTGTTTTGTAGTGCAGTGATATTATACTGTAATTCTTCTAGTGTTTTGACTTCTTGATTTGAAAACTTTAATTACATTTAAAATCAACATATTTTATTTCTGAGATGCACAACTGGTCTTTTATATTATATAGTTTTGTGTATTTTATTCTTCTTTTTGAACTATACAGGACTTTATACTTTTGATGCCATTGCTTTTAAGATTTGACACATTTTATTCATAAATAATTAATCTGCTTCATATAAGTATTTAACATACATAAATTAGCAGAAATCAGCCAGTATAGGATTTAAACACCGAAGAACAGAGGAAAGCTTTTCAGCCCTTCTAGGGAAATAAGGAACAAGAGACCTCTCATTGTCTGTCCAGTGCTTCTGTTAAATTTTAACCACAGCAACACGAATAAACTTAAACTGATTCACCCCTACAGGTTCATTAATCCAACAGTTCTATTCACTGTTTAGTTGCATAGTCCAAGTATTTATAGCCCCAGGATATTTTTTAATAAACTGAGGTAACAATCTGTCAGGCTGCCCTATGCTGTCAGTTGTGCTCCGATGGAATAAGTTTAAATATATATTTATATTTAAGAGTTTGTATTTGTCTTGCTCCTAACTTTGAGTGAATAAATTCACAGCTGCTGCTCAGTGGTCCTCCTTTGCAGATGAGAGAACCAAATTTAAATGCACTGAGCACCCACACCTGTAAAAAAATGTTAAGTAACAGAGACTGAGCTGTAGCGGATTGCCTGTAGTTCCTTTCTGAGCAACCTTATTGAATTATATTTAGTTTTCAGTGACTCAGCTCAAATTTTTTTTGTGGCTCAGATCATTGAAACTCTCCTGAGGCCAGGGGAATTGCTCTGTAAAAGAGGCCATAATTTGCCTTTTTCTTCCCTGTCACCTTGAAGTTAATCTATTCTCTGCCAATGATACAATTCCCTATGTTGTTTTTTCTCGCAGCTACCTTTAAAAATATCACATGGTTTATTAGGAAAATTGTAGTTTGACATGGCACAACTCATTGTTTGAGGGAAAAGAGATTGGTTTCCTCTGACTTAGAAAATGTTTCCTGATCAGCACCTTTCTGACTCTGCCCTCACTGACACAGACTCAGCCCACAGCCAGAAAAATCAGAGTAATTCATTATGGGCAGCAGAGAGATTGGGAACCCTCGGCTGTATAAAATTACATACAGCCCTGTATTTGTAAAGGTAGAATAGGTGAGTATTTCTGCTTATGTACAAGTCAGTTTGCTTTAAGTGACCAGATATGTGAAGCTCTAAAATGAAAATACAAAATGGCATCTCCAGGCTGTGGCGGGCAGGGTCTGAGGGCTCGCTCCAAGGTAAATGCACTCAGCAACAGCCAGGGAAATTCAAGGGGAAGCCCCTGTAAATTACTTTCTGTTGTATTGCAACTGCAATGCTTAGCAATGGTTACCAGTGGTTAAAAAATTACCATATTTAGTTAAAATATTTCATTTACAAAACCAACTGACAGGTGGCAAGGTGATTTAGCGCTGTGGCTGGCTGGAAGCTGCGCTGATGTTCGTGGTTTTCCTTGGACCCTTTGATTTCACACCCTCGGATATCACACAAAGCTTTCAGATCCTTTTGATTTTCCATTTTCCAGATCCTTGAGCTGCTCTTGGCCCCAGAATGAGTCAATAAAAGTCCACGTGAGGCAGATGAGTGTGCAGCACTGTAAGATCAGGCCATACGTTACCAATGTTACCTCTACCTAATATAGGCTGGATAAATGTTAATTTAAACAAATTATTATAGACATCCTCTAGAATACTAAGGAGGAAATTGATTTGTATTATTTTTTTCCCCTCTGGTAGCTCTGCAGCCAGCATTCCGAGTGGTGACAGAAATGGGGATTTATTTATGGCTTTTGGACTGGGTGAGGGAAACGGGATAAGGCAGCACGAATTTTATTGTCACTGGAGATGAAAAATGTGAAGCTCAACTGAACTGCAAAATTATTGCAACAACTGTTTGGGCAACTTAGAGGGACGTGAGTACAACAACGTTTGTGTATCCATAGCCAGTGCTGCTGTGTGGTGAATTGGTGCTATTTCATCTCCCGATTTCATTCTTTTCTCGCGCTGACCTTTTTTTATACATCGCTATTGAAAAAAACCCAAATAGGTTTTAAATGTTGTTTGGATTTCTTCCCAGAAAGGGACTGAATCTCCTCAGCTGAGAACTCCATCGCAGGAGAGTTATTGCTTTCTGGAGCGTTACTGGGGGACAGCTGGAATTTGGTGCTGTCACCAACCACGCCGGAGCAGCATCCTTTCCCATGAGCAGCCAACAGGAACAGAGACCGGTGGGTTCCACTTGGAAATACAAAAAAAAGGCATAATATCCCCAAAACACCACACTGGTATCAACAGAAATGCAATGAGTAAAATCCTAGATTAAAAGAATTGATTGCTGCAAGAGCATTCCTTTGTGTTACCACCTGAGGAAGCGAATTGGTGTCTGTTTTGATATCTTGAGGCATAACCCATGCTACTCTGAAATAGATTCACAGTGTGTATCTGTGTATATGTATATACATATGTGTGTATATGTATATATATATGTTTTATACTCTGACACCTGAAGAGGTGATACCCAAATATGCCTGATTGTGGTAGAGGAGGAAAAGCCACGTTCAACATCTCCTCCGCTTGCCATGACCACTCCTTGCCCCAAACACCACTTGCCTTGCATGGATGCTAAAAAGGCAGCTCTTGAAATTGCCTTTTCTTGAAAATTTTGAGATTCAGAAATTAGCCACCATTAGATTTTATAAGGAGTTAATTCTTCCATTGGAAAGTTCATCTCCTAAAACCTCTCACACAACACAAGCCGAGGCAGGTGAAGGACACCCATACCTTGGTAGCAGCTCACTGGGGCTCTGACTTCTGGCTTGTGCTGTTTCCATTTCCAAATTGCAAAATGCTTGAGGAAGTTGAACAGAACAGCATAGGCCATGCTGGTAAAACAAGAAGATTTCAAATACAATTTTGAAAGCATAACGACATATTCCATTTTTATTTAACTTTAAATTTAAACTTTTTGGTTTTCTTTAACCTCACAGTTCAGTGACTGCAGTTACCACACCAGTTGAGCTCCACTAAAGCCTCTAAGATGTCCCAGGGTATTTTATTTCCATACCTCAAAAGAGGACTCTCAAACCTTTCAAATCATGGGTTTAGCCACTAAAAAGCTGCTGTCAGTCATGACTGCAGAGTGCAAATCGAGTGGTCAAGTGCAGTTTATTGAAGGGTGGGGGAAAAAAAAGCCTTCTGGCCATGTAAAATGCAGAAACTACGGCCTTTGCAGTATTTTCAATTTAATAAAATGTAGCTTTGAAGCTGTGTCGAGGTTTGTAATGTTTAGAACAAACCCTGGAGGTGGAGATGGGGAGACCTGGCAGGGCAGGCTTTCATTTATTGCCATTTCTGCAACAATTATAAAGACAGGTAGTCTTGACTACTTAAATATATTCCTAGATACTCATTATTTTAGGTTCCAAATATAAAAATCTTAGACAAATACCTCTCTGAAGTCACTAAATTAGCTGCTGCTGGGATGTTACACATTCTCATGCCCAATTATCCGGACTTTAAAGAGTTTTTTCCTGTATTTGGTGTTCAAATATTGCCCGTTTCCTACCATATATTTCTTGAGCAAAAAGCAGAGAAGATTATTTTTGTAACAGAGAGTAGCAAAGGGGCTGTAATTGCTCACGGGAAGGTTTTAACTCCTTTTGCTGGAGTAATGCTTCTTCCAGAGGGGGAAGAAGGGACAGAGGGGCTGGGTCCTGCCAGAAGCCATCGGGGGGTCCTGCAGCCCCTCTGGCGCATTGGGAGCAGGGGTGAAGCGGCTGCCAAAGAGCTGACATTGCTGAGAAGGTGTTTGATTGGTGATGGGGAGAGGGGAAGAGACAGCTGACCAGCGAACTGTGCGGTGGACACAGAAAAGCCGCTCTTGGGCTAAACACAGGGACATCGACACGGTATTATTTTTGCTACGGCGCTT